ATCTCGTGGACCCACGAGCACCAGCGGCGCACCTCGGCTGCCGCTGCGGTGACCGACGGCTCCACGAACACCACGAACACCACGAAGGGCAAGGGCAAGGGCGCCGCGGCCGCCGAGCCGCAGCCCATCGCCCTGGACTAGCACGACTGGTCCATCCCCATCGCGCAGGCCCCCAATAAGATGCCCGACGGTGCGTATGAGACCTCCGTCTCCCCCCATAGCATGGAGGATGCCGAGAAGTGATGCATGGCGTTGCGGCGGCAGAAAGGAGCCACTCGCCATCTTGGCCATCGGCACGGGCAGCGACAACTGGGCTCACGCGAAGATCCAGATCCCAGTACTCAGGGTCCCGCGCGGCACGACAAACCCGAGGAAGACCTTCATGAATGGCGTCATCTACCAGTTCGGCGAGACTGATGTCACTATGAAGACACATGTTGCGCAGCTCGGCGAAGCAGATGGAAATGCAACCTTCATGCGCATCACCATCCATGAGGCCGACACGCTGCTCGTCAACCCCACCATGAATGAGGTGTTCAGCAGCCAGTTCAGTGGCGCCGCCCCCGTCGTGGTCGGTGGACAGCGCAAGGACAAGATGGACAGCGCAGCCAACGAGCGTTGGAAGACGGCTCGAAAGTCTGACGCGAAGATCTCCATGGACAATGGGCTGCGCGACGTCATCAAGTCCACCATGCAGGCCATCTGCCCCGAGATCCCACTCCTCGACGAGCCCAGTCGCCTGCTACGAGCAGGAGGCCAGGCAGGTCAACGTATCCTGGGAGCCGTGATCGCCATCCCCAAGAACCAGGAGGACGCCCTCCTCAAGTACTCAGGTTACCAGGGTATCACCTTTACCTTCTCCTACATCGGCGTCGACGCGGAGAAACAGGAGATCGACAAGAAGAAGGTCCACACCGTCTGGTTCAACAAGACTATCTCCATGCAGGAGGCCTATAGCATCTCCAAGTCCCACGAGGCTGCACTGGGTGCTACGAAGGGTGACCGTGGACAGTTCGGACTACGAGTGCAACGTGAACATCCCAAGGCAGGCGAGGCGGCTACTGCTGTACGAGGCTCAGCCACGGCGCTGGCCCGACGCAAGTGGCGCATCGACAACATTCCAAATGGAAAGGCTACTAAGGAACAAGATGCGGACGCTGCTCAGACAGTCGGGTGGACTGCCGACATCGTCTACGTGGGCTTCGACATCAACGAGAAGACTAACTTCGCCATCGCGCGCTCCGACACCGAGCCGACAAACAAGTACTGGAAGTTCGGCGCTACCACGCCCTGGGTCGTCACCGAGGTCACCAGCGGGAATCACAGCCCCGCCAGCACCTCAGCGGCAGCTCCTACGGTTGTCCTCGCCGCTTCCATCAACACACAGCCACCACCTGATCAACCGACTGGTAAAGTACCTGCTGCACCCGAGGCTGCCGCGCCTCCCTGGCTCGCCGCACTTCAAGGGAAACCGCCAGAGCAACCTGTGCCACAAGATGAAGCCGACGCGCGGATGCAGGTTGAGCCTCGTGAAACACCACCTACACCGGTCCCTGTCCGTCTCCCTGATGCTGAGCACGAGCGAATTCTGGCTCTCGAAGCCAGTGCACGGGCCCAAGCTACTACCATGGCCGCTATGCAGGAGCAGCTCGACAAGCAGGCCAATGCCACCACCTCGCTCGGCGCCAAGCTCAACGACGTTACTGACAAGACGGACGCTGCTGTCACCGAGATCAAGCAGGCGAACGCGGCACTCAACAACACCATCCAGATGAACCAGGCGCAGCTCCAGGGAAGCTTGGCCGCCATCCTCAAGAAGATGAACCTCCAGGAGGAGCACGCGGATGCCCCCAACAAGAAGACGCCGCGCACCACGCAACGTACCTGTACCGATGGCAATGGCAGCAAGGACGACGACGAAATCTCAAGGTGCCCAAGGAAGGTCAGTCCCGCCTTTCGTTGGGAAGTACGTGAACGGGGACACCAATTACATTCACTGGGCAGTGGCCTACACGCTCAAACTTTGGGGTACTGCAGCGAGTGGGATGGCTGCAGGAACGTGCATCATACCACATTCTCGACCATGTCTACAGCTAGTCTGGGAGACTGCCGCGGTGACGACACGGCCGAGGCTAACAATCGGGAAGCCTTGCCTCGATTCAACCTCCGCATGCGAACATCGACTTAAGCGACATTTCGGTTTTGTTGTCATGTGGGTCCTGACGACGTTGCCTCAGTGTCATAGCTACAGTCATCGCACGCGTGCGTATTCTGATTCAACCCTGGGTGACGGGCCTGGTTATCACAAGTTCATCTCGCTCAATGTGTCGTCGCTGCAAGCGCACTGGGAATTGCCCACTGCCCTCGGCGACCGATGCGTCGCCGTTGCAGCGCTACAGGAAGTACGCCACACACCTCATCAACTCGCGGGCCTTGATAAGCATCTGCATCGGCACGGGTGGAAAGCCCACTGGGGCCGGTCTCTCTCGCCAGGCGCACG